AGGGCGCAGCGGTCTCCAGCGAGTCGCTGATGCTATGCTGCGGCACAGCATCGGTTTCGCGCCCTCTGAGGGGGGCCTTAGAGCGGCCAGTTCAGGTAGTTCCTGCCATTATGTTTCAGGCTCCGGAATTAGCCGTCTCGATAACACCAGAGACCAGCCTCGAGAGGCTGGTTCCCTTAGTAAATTTTCTGGCAGCGTGGAAGCTTCTGCCGAATATTTCTCGTTGGGTCCTGCAGATTGTAGAGAAAGGATACAGAATCCAGTTTGGTTCTCGTCCTCCTCGTTACAACGGGGTGCTGCCCACAGTGGTGCATCCCGAGCAGGCTCTGGTAATGGAGCAAGAGGTAAAGGCCCTGTTAGCAAAGGAAGCTATAGAACAGGTGTACTCACCCGACAGAGAGTCGGGTTTTTACAGCCGTTATTTCTTTGTCCAAAAAAAGGATGGAGGGTTGCGTCCCATTTTAGATCTTCGTCTGTTAAATCGTTCGGTACAGAAACTCAAGTTCAAGATGCTGACACTCAAGCAGATCGTGACTCAAATCAGATCCGAGGACTGGTTTGTCACGATAGATCTGAAGGACGCTTACTTCCATGTCTCCATCCTCCCTCAGCACAGGAAGTTCCTAAGGTTTTCTTTCGGGGGCAAAGAATACCAATATCGGGTTCTTCCTTTCGGTCTAGCTTTATCACCCCGCACGTTCACGAAATGCGTGGATGCAGCTCTAGCCCCTCTCAGGCTTCAGGGCATACGTATTCTGAACTACATCGACGACTGGCTGATTCTAGCGGAATCAGAGCAGTTGGCGGTTCGGCACCGAGGTGTCGTTCTCGCTCATATGCAGATGTTGGGGTTGAGGCTCAATGCCAAGAAAAGTGTGCTTTCTCCAGTACAGAGAACCACTTTCCTTGGTGTGGTATGGGATTCAGTGACGATGCGGGCCACTCTATCGCCCGTTCGTGTAGCTGCTATCCTGACAGCCACCAAAGAGCTAAAGCTAGGCCAGTCACGCACTGTAAAACAGTTCGAGAGACTGTTGGGTCTTTTGGCGGCAGCGTCCAACGTGATTCCTTTTGGCCTGCTGTACATGAGACCTTTGCAGTGGTGGCTCAGGACCAGAGGGTTCTCCCCGAGGGGAAACCCACTTCGTATGATCAAGATCACGCGGCGATGCCTTCGTGCCTTGGTTATATGGAGAAAACACTGGTTCTTAACCCAGGGTCCGGTGTTGGGAGCTCTCTGCCATCGAGTTACGATCTCGACAGATGCTTCCCTCACCGGCTGGGGAGCGGTAATGGAAGGCCGCTCGGTTCAGGGTCGGTGGAGGAGCCATCATCTTTCTTGGCACATAAATTGCCTGGAGATGATGGCCGTCTTCAATGCGTTGAAGCAATTCCTCCCAGACCTGAGGGGCCATCATGTGCTCGTCCGTACAGACAACACATCGGTGGTCTCTTATCTGAACCGTCAGGGGGGTCTGCGGTCGCGTCCGCTTTGCAAGCTGGCGCACCAGATCCTCCTGTGGTCTCTGGGGAAGGTACTCTCCCTGAGGGCAGTGTATATTCCTGGGGACCAGAATATTGGGGCAGACATCCTGTCGAGGCAGGAGCTGAGGCCAGGGGACTGGAGACTCCACCCCGAGGCGGTGGAGAAAATTTGGGAGTTTTACGGCCAAGCAGAGGTGGATCTGTTTGCGTCTCAGCATACGACGCACTGTCCACTTTGGTTCTCCCTTACTCACCCAGCCCCCCTGGGGCTGGATGCTATGGTGCAGACGTGGCCGAGGCTACGTCTGTACGCATTTCCCCCTGTTGCTCTGCTCCCAGGAGTTCTGGAACGAGTCCGCCAGTACGGAATAAGCCTACTGCTAGTAGCACCACGCTGGCCGAGTCGGATCTGGTTTGCGGACCTGATCCATCTCTTAGACGGTCCTCCCTTGGAGATCCCGATCAGGAGAGACCTTCTGTCTCAGGCCGGGGGCACAATATTTCACCCTCGACCAGAAATTTGGAACCTGTGGGTTTGGCCTCTGAGGCGGCCCAACTCATAGAGAGTGGTCTCTCAGCTGAGGCTGCTGAGACCATTCTAAGCTCCAGAGCTCCAGCTACTAGGAAACTATATGCGCTTAAATGGAGAGTTTTTTCTGTATGGTGTCACCGACATCAGTGGGATCCAGTTAACTGTTCTGTGAACACAGTACTCGAGTTCCTGCAGGAGCGCTTTACGTCAGGTCTATGTCCTTCCACGCTCAAGGTCTACGTGGCGGCCATTGCGGCTTACCACGCCCTGGTGGGGGGTACATCGTTGGGTCGAGACCCCCTGATTACACGTTTCCTTCATGGCACTTTGAGGCTAAGGCCTGCAACTCGCACTAGGGTGCCAGCTTGGGATCTTGCTTTAGTACTAGAAGGCCTGTCTAGGGCTCCATTCGAGCCCTTAGTTTCGGTTTCAGAGAAGTTTCTTACCTTTAAGACTATCTTTCTGCTAGCTATTTCGTCCCTTAAGAGAGTTGGAGACCTTCAGGCCCTTTCGGTTTCCCCCACTTGCCTTGAGTTTGCACCGGGGATGGTCAAGGCATTCTTATATCCAAAACAGGGATACGTCCCTAAGGTGCCGACCTTGACTCCGAGGCCTATTGTGCTGCAGGCTTTCTGTCCTCCTCCTTTTACATCTGCGGACCAGGAAAGGCTGAACCTCTTGTGTCCAGTGCGAGCACTGGATACTTATGTTCATCGGACATCGTCAATGAGGAAGTCCGACCAGTTATTTATTTGCTTTGGATCACCTAAGAAGGGTCTTCCTGCTTCTAAACAGACGGTTAGTAAGTGGATAGTTGAGGCTATTTCACTTGCATACGAGTACTCTGACCTGCCGTGTCCTTTGGCGGTCAGAGCTCATTCTACGAGGGGTATGGCGGCCTCTGAAGCCTTACTATTTGGAGTTTCTCTTCAAGACGTTTGTGATGCGGCAGGCTGGTCCTCACCGCTCACATTCGTTAGGTTTTACAGCTTAGACCTGGATGCTGCCCCAGGTTCTCAGGTGCTTAGTGCTTAGTTTCAACAGACTGACACTCAGGTACTTGGAATTCTGGCGTTTTGGGTATTCTCGTTCCCAAAGCGTCAAGTGACGCATCGAGAGTTCCCTCGAAAGGGAACGTCTCAGGTTACGACTGTAACCGTAGTTCCCTGAGAAAGGGAACGAGACGATGCGTCACCCTGCCATACTTCCTGCTTCCCTGTGATCGGCTTGCTTCGACTTTTTGAAGCTAATGCCGCGTTTCACCGGGTGAGCCTTTATCCCTTCCTGGTCATGACGTCACCCGCCCGTGACGCTCATTCTTTCCATTGGACTAGTTGACATTGATGCTCAGACGCATGCACGCTGGGGGCGTTCCCAAAGCGTCAAGTGACGCATCGTCTCGTTCCCTTTCTCAGGGAACTACGGTTACAGTCGTAACCTGAGACGTTTTATGGAGTTAATTTGCATTCTCTGTCAGACAGTGTGGAGTTAATTTGAGGACATTAAGAATGAGCACAATAAAATTCAGATACAGATCCCTCATACAGAGCACTAATTAGTTGATTTAGATTATTATTTTTGTATTATTTTTATAGAGTAGGCCTACTTATAAAAATAAAAGCTCATTTAAAATGTTTATATTTTCGCTTTAGTTGAAGTTTTAGCAGTTTTATTATGTGCTTTAGTAATATTTAATAGTTAATTTATATTTCTATACAGCTTTAATCTATTTTTTTTTTTTTTACTTTTGAGAAGTGTATTCATATTATGAAGTTGTATGACAGTGACTTTAATGTATTTTGAGTCGTATGGAAATTCATTGAAAATCTGACTGCACTCTGAAGTTAAATGTGAGTTTGATTGAGCTCCGTGAATATAGGGTTGAGTTTGTGGTTGCATTCAGAGACCCTGAGAGAGTTTCAGGGTTCATGTAGCTAAATTAACACCCAGTACACCCAATACCTCGATGTGCTCTCACGTGTCAGTTTACCATTACTCTATTCATAACACACACACACACAACACATAACAGACAGAGTGTGCCATCTGAAAAGTTAAAAAGTTCATAGAACAACACAAATTTTATGTTCTTCCAAAAGAACTGTATATAATGCTGTATATTAAACAGTGTAGCCTAGAAACGTTTAGCTGTCTGATGACGCCCCGCTTTTAGAACAGGGAGTGGCACCACCAGACTGGGAGAATGGGAAAAATAGGAGACGAATGGCAACAGGAAAAAAGAATGAGAGAGACCGAAGGAAGTCTGAAGAGAAAGATTGTGCACTGGTGACGCTCCTCTGATTGCAGGGAGTGAAGTTTTCCCAGGTTTGAAACTTGCTGAGTATTTTAATGTGATGTTTAGAGGGCTGTAACCGACCCTGAGCAGTGAGTCAGAGTCGCTGCAGTTTAAAAATAACACACATGCCCCTCCAACCCACCTCTGAGAGGGGTGAAAGCTTGATACCCCGCCAAAGATGGTTACAAGCGAAGGGGGGTGAGGAGAGGGAGAGAAAGACGTACAAAATAAGCACATATGGGGCGTCTCTCTCTCTCTTTCTCTCAGGCCTGCACTGCTCTTAGATGTAACCAGCCTGTGTACGAAATGCTCAAATGCTTCCCTTAAATATAGAGTCGGCTCTATTAATACACATGTGTAACGTGTAACTCCAGAACCAGAAACGAAGCAATAAATCAGTGCTGACTAACTCAAAACTGGTATATAATGGTGTAACAATCATTGCACCATTACATCATTTTCCCATCACAAGGTCCAAATGAGAGGAACATAAGTCTGGATAATGTTTATCATGAACAGAAGGCACTGAAACACACACACATCAAACAAACATAATTTAGTGGAGATACTGTGTGTAATCAAACAAAACTGAATTGAATTAATGAAAGTTATGGTCACTAGAAACAGATGAGGAGAATGGACAGAGTGTGTGAAAGAAAGAATAGCACTGTGTTTGTGTTGACTTACTTGCTTGGATAAAGGTACAGAAAGGCCCTGCCAGGGCGACCAGCAGCAGCAGTACGATCCTCATCTTGGTCACTGTTGGTCACTATCCTCCAACTGAAGCTTTAACAAACTAAGAGGCTCCTGAAGGCACACAGCAGGCTCTGGATGAAATGCTGGCTCACGCACAGACGTGTGGCTTAAAGTTGGTTTGAATGGAAAGGGGCGGTGAGGTCTGGAGCAGCAGTCTGGACAGAGGCACTGAGAGCCAGAGTGAGAGAGAGGAAATGTGCTTTAGTGTGTCTTCAGAGGGGGAGGGGTTGGTTGGGCATTGGCGTTAGGTGGTCCTGCCCCTCATGCCTTCAAGTAAGTCTCTGTCAGTCTTGCTCTCTCTCTCTCTCTCTCTACTTGACTATCACTTTCTCAAGATAGTCTTTTACAAATTTTCATTTTAAACCATGAAAAGAGCTCCAAAATAAAAATAAAATTATAATCCATTTTCTTTTCTTTTTTATATTACTTTTACTGTTGCTTTTATTATTCTTAAATAGCCTATTCCCCAAAATCAGTCTAATGGAACAGGGTAGATGCCATGTAATCTTATGAGAATGAAAATGGGTCTGTGAGAGGCAGTCTTAGCAATGGTTTACATGTTGTATCCACCTTATTTTGCAAAACATAAGTAAGCTGTTCTGTGAATACGCAAGACTTTCCGATTCAATAGCTGCTATATAAATAACAAAGTGCAGTAAACTGTAAAACTTTTTGCATTACAAACCAGTGTGGCCGTACCCGTTCTTACATTTAAAAAGGTGTAGGCTATAGCCAACATTGAAAATATGGCTTTTCTAAAAAAAATATATAAAAAAATAAAAATCCAATGGACAAAAAAATGTTGAAAATTATATGTGACTTAATAGCCTACAGTACACCCTATTGTGTGTAAGCTATGTCTGTCCAGACTGTCCCTAATGACCACGCTGTGTCAAGTAATTGCGTTAAATTAAATATGGCGTCTATCTTGACTATTAAATTATGGGAATTTGGTGAATTTAGGATGTCATTATGGACTGATGGCTTATTTTACGCCTGAAAATGAGGGCTGTCAACTGCCACGAGTTCTAAGCCAAATCCTCCAGCACGTCAGCTTATGATTCCGAGGAATTGGCACAGAATTATTTTCAACCGTTAAAAGTTTGAAATATCCTGTGAGGTAGGCTACTGTTTGTTTGGAGGCGTGAATGCGCCCATTTTATGCTGACATCTAGTGGCTAGTTAGTGTAATTACAGGAGCACAATGTTCCTTCTGTCTAACAGCAGCCAAATCATCTCTCATATCAACAAGACCACACAGAAAATGCACATTTCTTAAAGACTGAGGGCAGTTATGCATTTTATTAACGGCACACAAAATTGGTGGCGGATCATTCGTGTTATGTTACATTTTCATGTCTATATAGCCAGAGCCTACGATTTTTTATAAAAATGTAACTACAAATGGAAATAATAGATGAGTTTCCTTTACCACAATATCACAATAAAGTGAACATGGGGTGAATTTCAAATAGTTTTTTTTTTTTGTCAAAATCTGTCAAACAAAACAAAAAGTTCCTACAGCCTCAATATGACATTCCATCCTAATATTTTGTCATTTCCATTTAACTAACAAAAGCATCTTCCTTAATGAAATTAAGTGACATCATATACCAGGTATCGCAATACCCTGGTATTAAAAACGGCACAACAACACATTTTGTTAGTACCGGTACTTTAAAAATAGGTTTCTGTTTATTCTGACACCTTCAGTTTCGCTAATGCTCACAAATCTGTGTTTTTATAACAGCTAAAAGGTCTTTTCTTGTAACCATAATGTTATATTGTGTCATGTTTATCAAAATAAACTACAGGAAGTCGAACACACCTAATGACAGCGCTCCAGTACTAGAATGGCTTCGCGACCCTGCTAATAAAAAAAGTACAATACCACATTTTATTAGTTCCAGTGCTTTAAGAATGACAGCATTCTAATAAGAGCCGTATTTCTTAATTTGCGTCGATGAGTGACAGCAGGAGTCAGGATGTAATTTGCTTTTATTCACATATAAACATTCATCAACGCACACATCAGCTGTGGTAAACGGAAGCTCAAGCATGTTTCGTTTGACGTGCGAGAGCCAATGAGGTTCATTCTCGTGTGTTACGCAGCATGTTTGAGCTTCGCAAGAACCAATGAGGTTTGTTCTAGCGCATCAAGTTGAGCTTCTGTTTATGTTTAATGATCAATGTTTATACGTGAATAAATGTCTAAATTCAATCTGTTCATCATATAAAGCGATTGTGTCTCTTCAGAAAATTTGGACTAAACCATTCAATTCATATGGATTAGTTTTACGATCTCTTTATTAAAGGTGCTCTAAGCGATGTCGGGTGACGTCACTTCTTGTTGACGTTTAAAGTATTTTCAAACAAAACGGAGGCTAGCTAGACCCTCCCTCCTCCTCATCCGCGCACTAACCCCCAAACCCCACCCCCAAGTCCTTCTTGACGGTAATTGGCTGGAACAGTTTGTTATGTTTCGTGGAGCGGGTTGCCGCAGTTTGTTTTTGTTGCCATTTGTGGAGCCTGGGTTGTCTGCAGAGACCGCGTTTTTTTACAGTGTGTTCAGGAGACAGGCAGCCAGCGGATAGTGAGGAGATGTTTGCTGTATGTGACAAAAAATGTTTTGGCCTAAAAAACGTGTGACATCGCTTAGAGCACCTTTAACTTTTTGAAGTATCAAAGTGGTAGTTGCATGGCTGTCATGGAGAAACAGAAATCTTTCAGATTTCATTAAAAATATCTTCAATTGTGTTCCGAAGATGAAAGAAAGTCTTACCGTTTGGAACATGAGGTTGAGTAAATGATGACAGAATTTTCATTTTTGGGTGAACTAACCCTTTAAATTGACCTAATGTAGGCTCTCTGAAAAAGAAGTGTTTGTTAGAATAAATAAAAGTAAAATAAAAGAAGTAGTGTTTATTTCTTTTGTATTTTTCTTATATTTTTCATAATGTTTGTAATTTGCATCTTTTTAATAAGAAAGATCAAATTAAATCAAATAACTATATTATGATGTAAAATTACAATAAAAATATAAAACTAGCCTACTTCTTGTTTTATTGCTATTTTATTGGAGATTTTTTTATTAATTATTTTATTTACCTCTAAATTACTAGATTTTTACCAATAATTTTAATATATATATATATATTAGCACATTCTTCACATTCTTTCACATAAATACTCGAATAAAATAACTGCAGTGCATGCAAAGACCAGTTAAAGCTGCAGTCCGTAGCTTTTCCTCTTTGTCGCCATCTCTCTGTTCGAAATCTGTAACTGCAGTGATTCGCGGAATTATCATCTTTACGTGGGTTGTAAATCGGCATGAAACAGCGCGGATGAACACAGTGCTTTGAGGCGAGTGCTGCTGTCAGTCACCGCGCTGTGTGGATACTGTCATACAGAATCACAGATTCACTTTTTGAAAGTTTGACCAACATAAGAATTTTCATATTAAGAAAATGTCTTCTGAACAAGTAACATCCATTTTTGTTCTGACCAACTAAGGGGGGGAAAGCATTCGACATGATAAGCTTCGTTAGATTTAATCAACGCGATTTACAGCAACCGTGCAAATTATAGCCTACTTTGTTCTCAAATTGTTCATGTTAACAACATCACATCAGCATTGCGTGACTAATGTTAAATTTAATGTGTTTTATGGTTACCTGTGTAGTTCAGAATTCATATTCTCCATAATAGCAAAACGAGAAAGGCACAACAAAGGAAACTCCATAACTGTGTGAATTAAGAAAACGTACTGTTACACGATTGAACTACTGAAATGTCTTAACTTACTTGTTCAGCAGAAAAAAGCCGTCTCTTCTTCCGTTTTGAACCCCTTCAAAACACGGAGTTCACGCACTTTTCAAAAGCCCCGCCGATGTTTAAATCCTTGTGTTCGCATGAGACGGTTTCTTTCTCTTTCTCTAGCCACCTTAAATCCGAAGTACGAAGTCTTTTGGGTTTTATAACTGCTGAATCTCCAGTTGACACTGATGATTGTTGTTTGGATCTTTCTGGATGCCATAAGTTTAATTATGTAAAGTGCTGCGAGAAAAGCCTATACATCTAAACATCTCGTCACGCGCAGTATAGCCGGCTAGCCGAAACTCCTTCTTTATGTGTACGGGTGTGACGTAATGACGCAAAGACATGCTCGAATTTCCCGCGGAAACCCACCAGTACCACTGGAATTAAAATCATTATTACAAGCTAACCGTTTTGAATCTAGCTATGGCAAGCAGATAGTTTTGACCACTGGCAGAATAAGTTTTTTTTAATATAATTATTTTGGATTATTTTTTACTTAAAAAAGCTACGGACTGCAGCTTTAAACAAGCACAACACTGGTGTCTCTGATGACCTCTTGTGGAAAAACAAATATAACATACATTTCATGAGTTTTTCCACTAGATGGCCGTATATATCTGGAGCAAATAAGCTTTAGGCCTACCATTGGGAACTAAATTGAAGTCCCATTTGAAGCATAGACAGTATAAGAAGTGGACAGAGCCATCTCATTGGAACTCAGTTGAGACAGTTGAAGCCCATTTTTAGCGATTTTTGAGCACTTCCGTTCCTGACGCGCAGACTCAAACCGACTCAAACTAAGCTTGATGAAGTGAGCAACCTGTCTGACAGACGTTAATCTTCTAGTAGCTGTGCGTGAAAATTGCCAACGTTAATCTTGCAGAGACGGGGAACTTGAGCAAAGAGTTCTTTGGCGTGAGTGAGCAGGAGTAAGTATTCCGTTGCTTTTATGGACTCATTATCTATGGGCTTCTCCCTTGACGGGACGTCCCCCCGATTGCCTGCGAGCTTCTCCTCCTGTCTGTACGGTAATTTCTGTACAGCGCGACAGAGAGTCGAGTGGTTATGACGCAATCGTTAGCCTATTTTTACTAAATCTGTTTCTACGGGGCCATAATGTAACATAGAAGGTAATGGAGCCCTTTATACATTGTCGTGTTTCTTTAGAAATAAATAATGGACAAATGGAGTCTTTAAACGCCTCAGATGTAAAGTTATTCGCTGTCAAAGTGACGCCAAAATGAATGGGAGTCAATGGAAATGCTAACGCAAGTGAAGTTCTGCTACAACATGGCGGCACTCGGCCGGCTTCAACTTCCGGTCGATGGATTACCCCCTTGATTTGAAGTCAATAGGCTCTATGCACGATC